TTACCTTACAGGGCTAAAGCCTGAAATCGGGTGTGGAGAGTTTGAAGGAAGGAACTCACCCGGGGCTGCCCGCTGAACGTTAGGATGGGTTTTTCTTCGACTCAGTTATCACAGCAGCAGCGCTTTCCCCACGGCCTGTGCTTCTTTCCCAAACAGGGCCTGTGACCACGGAGCCGGGAAAGCAGCTGGGTGGGCAGATGAAGCCACTTTTCTTATCCTGATTGTATTTTATGTCTACATCTTCCCATAGGGGCATCGCTTCCCCCAAGGCTCCCAGGTTAATTTTGAAAACAATCTATGTGATTTCCAGCACCGCAATAAAGGCCCCATACTCCTTCCTCCTCACACATTGGGCCAACACCATTGGCCTATCAATCGAATAGCCGTAGACTTTTGCTTCCCAAAGGGAGCCTCTGTGTACCGCCTTCACCAAAAATAATCTTCAGTTTTTCAGGAGTGACTCAAAACTGTAGCAAGGATAGCTTACAATCTCAATCTAGCAGAGGTCTACAACGAGCACATTAGTGTTAATTGCAGTAAATCATTTACTGATTAACTTTGCTTCAATCTTTACATTTCCTATACAATTTTCCCCTATTTCTTTGTCACAGAACCAAACATGCTAAACAAATCACCCTCCGACTTCTGTAGTGCGAAGAATCAGGTAGCAGCAAGGTAGTGAGTTTATGCATATAAGAACACTTGGATATGAATAAGGTCTTTTGAATGGTTTGTGGGCTTCACACTCTGATGCCAGCCCAGTAACATATGGAAACTGAGGAAACACCATTTCTATAGTTTTGTATATTAATAAAAGACAATTATAATAATTTTTATGATTTCTACGTAAAAAACCAACCTTAAACTTCTCTCCAAATGTCAGGGTTAAGAACTGGACTTGGGCAGAGTTAACTGAAAGAACAGCAATATCATCCACACTCATTGACTAGGTACCTTTTTGGGTAGCATTGTTCTAACACAGAGTCATGTTCTCAGGAGCGCTTTGGTAAACTTTCCTATTTCAGGATATTTATGATAGCATCCCTGTGCCAGGTATTGTCTTAGGCAAAAGGATGAAGTGAGGAATCAGGGGGCCACTGTTCTCAGGGAGCTGGGGTCTCAGGAAGAGCGCAGATCACAGGCAGACCACTAACATGCGTGCAAGAAGGCCACGCACAGGGATGTACAGACACTGGGAGTTCCCATCAAGGACACTGATCTGCTCGGAGATGGCACAAGAACATTTAGTAAAGCCTGCCAGAGTCGCTTCAGCCACCATTTCACTTGGGCTCAAAGCTAAATTTGGTGCTTGCATAGTATGTATTTAAAAAGGTGTAGATCAAAGACGCATACTTCCCACTGAACACTAATTATCTCTGTGCCCTAAATCCCCAGCTTTGCCCACTAAAGGTGTGGTAGGAGATCCAACTTTGCACTGAAGACATTTTATTTCCTTTAATATTGGGTGCAGAGACCAAAGGGACTATCCAGTTTGTGTTCTAACAACTTAAAAATGTTTATTTTTAATTGCATGTGTGTGTGTGTGTGTGTGTGTGTGTGTGCGCACATGCACGTGTGTGTGTGTGTGTGTGTGTGTGTGCGCACATGCACGTGTGTGTGTGTGTATGTAGGTGCCCAAGAAAGCCAGGGGCATTGAATCCACCTGGTGCTGTAGTTCCACTGGTTGTGAATTTCTCGGCATGGCCTCTGGGAACTGAACTTAGGTCTTCTGCGAGAGTATGCACACTTACTCTTACCGCTGAACCATTTCTCCAGCCCCACTGATAACCCTTTTTAGAGATGCGCTATACCCTTAGATTGCTACTTCTTAGTTGCAATTAATTCATAATTACAACTCTGAACTTTTTAAAGTTACCTTTCCCATACGTTTTCTTTGCTTTTGAGAAGAAAAGTGAACTTTATTCGGACGTTAGGAAGAACGATGTCCTTTAAGTGGAAAAGGAGCATACATCTAAGCCACTTCCATAAACACGCTCCCGCCAAAGCACAACAAAGGGAGAGCTCTCCACGCATGGGTGGAGAGACTCCGACCATGGTGCAGAATTTAGATCGGCATGCCAATGGCCTGCATGCTTAATTACAGTGGAAATATTTCTTTTCGTAGATCAGTGCATTCTTTTTTGCAATGACATGTTTCTGAAAGACAATCTTCAAACAGCATAACCGTCCATTGTTCTTTATTCTTCAATAATTTTGGCAGAAAAATTTTCTATATAGCCCAAGTCATTTTCTTATCACACATTGCTTTGAGCGTTCATTATCCTTTAGCTATTTACTTAGTTTTATTCTTTGCAGTGTCGATTTCCCCTTAACAAAAGAGCAGATGTTAATTGGAACCATTTGGAAAGGACCTGAAAGTCACCGAGAAGCATCTTAGTTGGGTTAACATATCATGTAGAGCGAACGCAAGAAGACGTCATCATTAACTAATGAGCCCTTTGGACGTACACAGGTAACCTCAGAGAGCCTGTCTTTGTGTAAACCTCCTTTCGGTTATTATCTAGTCGAATCTCTAAATAAGTGCTAAAGTCCATCCAGAGAAATTAACTCTGTCTGGCTTATTCCTGCTTCTTGTGGATGGGAATTTGGAGCGGACACTTGGGTAGCTTTTTGTTAAGCTGCAGGTGGTAAATGGTCTCCTCAGATGACAACTCAACCCAAGGCCCTAACAAGCCTTCCAGCTTTGCAGGTGACAGTGTGCTTGCTGTTGGCTTTGCTTCCCTCTCAATAGTAGTATGTCAGTCTTTTTTTTAAGACTTTGGAGAAAATGATTTTTATAGCAGCTGATAAAAATACCTACATTTATTCATTTATTAATTGTGTCTGTGGGGTGTATGCACATGTACCTCTTTGTGTGTGTGCACACATGCATGGGAGCTAGAAATCAGTGCTGGTTATCTTTCTGGATTATTCCCATCATGTGTTTTAATTAGAATACATTAATTATACATAATAATGGACCTCATTATAACATTTCTATACATGTACAAGACACATTTCAAACATATTTACTCCTCCACTGTTAATTTCACTTGCCTGCCTCCTACCTCTGCCGGCTTCTCATCTTTCTACCTAGCCTTCCTCCTCCTACCTAATGGTTCTTGCTAAACCTTGAGCTCACCGATTTGGCAAAGCAAACTGGCCAATGAGCTAGGGAATCCTTCCTGGAGCTACCTCGGTGCTGAGATAATCTCTGTGTGCCCTGGGAACCAGCTTTTTATGAGACTGCGGAGGACTTGAACTCAGATCCCCATGCTTTGGGGGCAAGTACGTTAGCCACTGACCATCTCTCCAGTCCTTAAGTTTATTATGAAAGGAGCTAGATGGTGAGGGCCATGAACAAGTGATGTGTGTTTCTGTGCCTGCAGAATCAGCTCTGTATACTGTGAAAGCGGATTCTATGCCATTTGAACACTGGTACTGAGGATATAGGGTAATTTGGGGGTAACTCTTCCAGTGTGATGAAGTACTCTAATGTTCTATAGCAAGCAAACCCACTTCTCTAAAGTGGCACGCACACACTGCAGGGCTTCATAGCTTTAGTTTTTTTTTTAATAAAAGGTTGTAAAAATCTATTTGGTTTCCTCTAAACAACAGTTAGTAAGCTTATGGGTGGCAGGTGCCATAGAGGCTGGGCCACGCGATGAATGCCAGTTGCTATGTGAAGTACAGCAAAATCAGAAATGTCGCCAACCGGAGAAAGCGCCATGACCCAATTTCGAGGTACACATGTACCATTTACTTTACAACCTTGAAGTCTGATGCTAGAGACTACTCCATCCCGTGTTCTGTGCTGGTGGAGTTTGCCACGCAGGTAGAATGCGTGTAGGTAGGCTTTCACACTGTGCTAAATCACAGTGTTCTGAAAGACCCAGGGCCTTGCAAAGGCCATATCTCAAAAAAGTTACTGCCTCAAATAAATGTGCCATTTTATAAAATTATACCTACTGCATCAGAAAAAAAAGTTCTTTCATGTGAGTGACATTTATACGATTGCCATTTATCCAGAATTGGACATTCTCACACAGCAAGGCTGAAAGAATGGCTTTGAAAGCCCAGAGTCGTCTCTGAATGATAAATGTGGTGAGGTTTTAAGATGCTCCCACGAGAGCACCTGGGTGGCTTCCTTACAAAAACGAAGCTTGCTTTATTATGAAAAGTAATTACTCAGTTATACTTGGAGCATTAGCAAGACTCCAACTCCTTTCGTACCGGAAGCATCTTAGGTCATAAAGCTTTTTACCTTGTAGAGCTGGACCCTGTGGATACTCTTGGACCAATAGACTTCCAGCTTAGATTTGTGGAAGGAATAGAACTCTAAACACCCCCCACCCTAAGGCTCAAGCAACTCGCTTTCCACGACACACTATTCATCTATTAAAGGGCCAGTGCCATTCAGAGAAAAATAAAAACGCCAACACAAAAGAAAATCCCCAAACCGCCTACCATCTGCACAGACTTTCTGTCCCTTGTGCAGTAAATGGCACGACAAACTGTTTTTCTCTGGAAAAGCCATGGCTAAGCTGGTTAAGGATGTCTAGATTAAGAGCAAGGAAGAAGGGGTGCTCAGCCTCAGGTGTGAGGAAGTCCTCGGATCTAGTGTTAGACTGTTAGCCTGCACACCTACTGACTTCCGGGCTCCTTTCCCATGGCACTTCAGATTTGTACGAAGCCAGACGTACAGAGAAAGAATCCAACCTTGAGTATTTCTCCTCCGGAGTCCCCTGCACCCCAGGAAGCTAAAGATTGGCTGAATTGTTTAACTGATCCTGCTGCAGCTTTGGGCCAACTTTTGTGCATGTGTGTGTGTGTGAGAGAGAGAGAGAGAGGGAGAGAGATGGGGTGAGTTTGCCTATATCTCAGTATCAGCTTGCTGAAAAGTGGGGTCCAGAAAACAAGGTCTGGGGGTGGGCTGAGACAGAAAAGGGATCTCAGCCTCTGGCGAAAGCGACAAGGCAATAGCCAGGAAAGTGACCCACCTGCGGGAGAGGCGCCCAGAGGGCCGTCGGTCAGGCGCAGCTTCGGTGGGCACTGGCTGCCAGGCAATGCAGAGCGAGCTTGCCGGGCTGAGCTCTGCAACTGCCTTCAGGCTCTCGCCTTTAAAAAGCCAGAGAGCAAAGGGAGGGCCCGCTTGATTTCGCAAGAGAAGCTATGAAGCAAAGTTTCCGGGAAGAGTTCAACCTGGGAATCCCGCGCAGCTGGAAGGACCAGAATTTTTTGTGTTGCTCTGGCCTGCAGATGCAGCCGCTTTACGCGGGCAAGCGGGGCTAAAAAGGGGTTTTCCGGAGCTCCTGGAATCGCTGCATCCCTGTCCAGCTGCAGCCCAAATAAAGGGGCAGGGAGGCGTTCCCTTCCAGTCTGAGCCAGAGGCCACTGGGCAGCTAAGAAAGCAGCACCTAAGTAAGCAAGGACCTTAGGTGTATTCCTCGTAGCTGCTGTCTTGTCTCTGTTCAGACGAAATAGTGGCATCATCTACCTTCTTTCTGGATACCCGATTCGTACAGAGTTAGAATTTGAAAGATCTGGAATTTTCAAGTCTTCATTTCATACGCAGACAGATGTATCTAAGTCCACAGGGGTTGTTCCAAGGCTCTACGTGGTACTGAAGCCCAGGTATGCACAAGCATTTTGTATAATGAGTATCCTGCCTCCTGTTTACTTTAAACCATCTCTACTTGGTAACAGTGCAAGGCAAATCTATGTAAATGGATGACATACTTTATTGTTTGGAAGAGAATGACAAGGGGCAACACACCCACGCATGCAGAAAAGAAGAAAACATTTTTTTCCTAAATAGTTTTGATTCATAGTTTGTTGAATGCACAGATTATAAAAAACATGGGTACAGAGGGCTGACGACTTATACAATTGGATCGGTGTGTCGTTCTATAGAGGTGCTCAGATCCACCAGTTTAAGGCCTAAAGGACCAGGAAAACGTGGAGGGAAGGACATTCCTACGTTGCCATTTTGCAGTCTAAAACACAGAGTTCTCCAAGTTTGTCTCTCTCCTAACCATCTGCTGTAACTTCCAGCACACGCTTGCCAAGGACCCGATTTGCAGTCTCAGGGGAAGTGTGTTCTCGGTCCATCTGAGCCAGCCTCCTCTCTGCCTTGACTGCGACTCTTCTCATGTGTCCTGTGGAGTCAGCTGAGGTTCCAGTGTCTTCCAACAAGCCCTGTTCTGACAGCTAGCTGCGATTCAATCCTCTCCATCTTCATACGAGGCGGTCTGGAATTTGAGTGCAGCAGTTAGGACATTTCTCTCAAGTTTGTGCCTCCCCGTGGGTGCTTTCCCATCGCACCCAATGTACCAGGCCATCAGTGTCTCCTGCGCTTGTTAGTAAATCTACTCCTCAATCTTGTATTGTTCAAGGAGTTCATCTGGTAAGTATTCTTAGGCCAGGAAAGAACTTAAAAAAAATTCACTGATTTTTGCAGCCTTGAGTTTTCTGAGTTGGAAGACTCATAGGTGAGAGACTGTCCAGGGAAGAAGATATTCAACTGTGTCTCCAAGAGGCCTCATGATTGGTGGCTGGGTGGGAGACAGATTGGGAGGACTCGGGATTTTAGAGGGCAGAGTTTGGGGGGTATCAGTGCTTTTTTTTCTTTCTGATGATTTGCCACGGTGTAGCATCTGGCTTTGGGCCTTGTTAACACAGAGACCTGATTCTTGACACACCAACCTGGATCTACACGTACAATGCAGCTTTATCAGTTGCCAGCGGAATACCAAATAGTTTCTGTGAGACAGCAGGAGTGAGGGGCACCAGTCATTCTGACGGCTACATTGTTTTCTTCTGGGCATTTCATGTTATGTGTACCAGGCTGCTTAATCATAGGCAAGGAAGACATGAGATTCCAAGGCTTATTGTATGTGGCTAAGAGACTCTGTTGTGCTTGTGAAGACAGCTCACAATAGTAAAAAACAGCAATGAATGACCACGTAAGAAACACAATAGGTACTTGACTTGCTCGTCATGTGCTTTGTGAGCCTTAGTTCGGGTTGGAATTGCGCGTTAATGATCTTGAGGACCACTTGACTTCAGCTGGCTAGAACATTTTCATTGCGTACATTAAGAACCAGAATTATTTTGGGTTATCGAGCCCATTTCAGCAGTCATTCACTGTTCCCTTCTTTATCTTACTCACCACTGGTAACTTTCAGACAAAGTCCTGAAATATCCCAGCGAGTTTGACACACTTAGACTCGCCAGCCCTAAAGCCACGGATGTGCAAAGTTCACACTGACGTCCCTCGGGGATTTCCCAGACATTCTGTAGCCTGCCTACCAGATGACCCCACAGCTGCATCTTGTAAACACATTGATCCATGGCTCTTCCCCCTGTAACCTCTGCTGTGCTGGAACACTGATCTGGGTCCCCAGGTCATGGCTGCTCATATTGGACTTGGAATGAGCCAGTTCCTTTTTCTGTATAGAGTTGGTACTTTATGTCGGCAGGGTTTAAGATTGATTTTCCCTTAGGTCTAGGAAGGACACACAATTCATAACTCTCCTAGTTTTTCCTTGCTGGAGAAAAGTTAAACTTTCGTTTCCACGGTGGTGCAGGCCTAAAATCCCAACTCTCAGGGTTTAAGGCCAAGAGGATTATGAGCTTCAAGTCAGTCTGGGCTACATGGGGAGACTTTTTTGTCTTAAAAAACAAATGAATGAAAATAATACACAAAATAAAATGAAACACAACTTTCTGTTCTTTCCAGAGACCCCCATCTGTTTTGTCTAGGTCTTTATTATCTTTCTCTCATCTTTTCTACATAGCTGTTGGCCCAAGAGAGGATGACTTGCTAGTATGGGAACTCTGATTAACTGGATTCTAATTGGTACATTGTAGACCACCAGAAATAGACAACTTGGATCAACGGAGCAGGCCATTTGGGTTCTAGACTAGGTTTGGCTTCATCATCAACTGACATCAGTGACAGCCATATTGTATTCACAAACGTAGCCTCCAACCAGTGACATTTTATCTTTATTAGGTAGATGAAAAAATTGTGAATTTTATTGTTATTTGAGGCAAATATATTTCAGTTATGTAAGCCCTTTTCTTTGCTGAAGGCAGCCAAAGTTCCAGAAAAGAAAGATTAAATTACCGGGATATGAAGGATGGAAGAAATTGCCTTTATTAGTATTAAACTTGAGAGGCACTTGACTTGTGGTTAAAAGATTGATTATCCCTTTAGGCCTAGGAGGCACACACAATTCATAACTCTCCAAGTTTTTCTTTAAATCCTGGCTGTACGGGAAAATTAAGTTTCCAAAAGATGCCAGTAGCCCGAATACCCAAGGATTCGGTGTTGGCAGGGTTCATTCTTCTTCCTGTTGTTGCATCGTCAGCTCCTTGGATTCGCCTTCCAGACGCTGCCCTCCATCAGAGTCCCTGCTTAGGGATCTCCATGTTATCTGCCTGGAGTTCCTCCTGTTTCTAGCCCTGGACAGGGTAGTCTGTCATTGACACGTGCGAGAAACACACACACGTAAACATTGCCCTCTGTCTGTTTTTCAAGTAAGTAAGGAGGGTAGGAATGAAGGAAAGAAAGGAAAAGAAATTAAAATAGAGATGTTTCTGTGTAACTCAAGGACTCTTTAATGGCGTGGAGCTCACATCCTTTGGAGATATTTTTGAGTTTGGATGTAATGATGATTTTGTCTTTTTCCTTTTCTTGTTTGGCATCACGCTGTTTCGGTACTTCTCTGCGTTTCTTGCAGCTCAGACTCTGCAGAGGACAAGGGCTCATTTGCCATTTTCCATTCCCAGAGCAGCTGCTGCCATTCACCAGTTCAAGTTCTATCACTTATTCAGTTACTTCAAATTGTTTTTTTGTTGTTTTGTTTTCTTTTTTTCAAGACAGGGTTTCTCTGTGTAGCCCTGGCTGTCCTGGAACTCAGCTCTGTACATCAGGATGGTCTCAAACTTATAGAGATCCGCCTGCCTCTGCCTCCTTGAGGGCAGGGATTAAAGGCGTGCGCCGCCACCTCCTGACACTTTAAGATTATTTTTAAAATTGAAAACGTTAAAAAGATTTCTGTGTCAGCAAATTCCTCTTCCTGTTTCTTGGCCTAGGTTCCACTTTTGCTTTTTGGTTTTTCATTTTTCTTTCACAAGTCTCCTTGCACAATCTTGGTCTCTGTGGGTTACACTGAGTTGACACAGGACTTAGGCTCAAACCATCAAGGCATAGAGCCGTGTGCACAGCTGTGTCCTCTGGGATGCACTTGGCCATGGTGGGCAGAGTCTTTCCTGGAAAGCCCTGGAAAGCAACACATCCTTTGTTGTCCTGCTGGAGTTTGAGTCCAGGCCACTGTAAGCAGAATGTGCATCCAAGGAGTAAGCCACTTACGGGAATTAAGGGCAAAGAACAGAAAGAGAGAATTCTCGACTGTGTGAGCTTTGTGGTTAAAGGGTACTCTATACCCTGGACCTTTTGTTTTTGTAAGGTTTATTTTTATTTTATGGGTATATGTCTATGTCTGAGTGTATATATGAATACAACCTATATTAAGTGCCTGTGGGGACCAGAAGAGGGGTTCAGATTTTCTGGGATAGGAGTATGGTTGTGGGTCACGAGGTAGGCGGTGGGAATTGAACCAAGATCCTCTGAAACAACATGTAACCATTGAGTTTTCTCTCCAGGCCCACCCTGGGCTTTATTCTTTTAAAATGTGAATCTGAATTAATGAAATAGACTAGAAAGGATGGCTATTATATGGGCAAAGTCATTTTCTTTGACCGTAGATCATGTTCCTATTGAGATGGGGTCATCACAAAACACAGTCAGAATGAGGATGATGCAGCAACCAAAAATATCCTTTCTCGGCTTCCTGGTAGTTGACTTGAGGCTGGAGTGAACAGCTGATTCTGTGGCTGAAGGTTCTCAGCTACTGCCCAGTACAGCTGCAATTTCATTTCCTGTCTCGGTGAACTTCTTTTTCCTATTCTTGCCTACGCTATGGGGAAGTGGACACAAAGAAGCCCCTCCCCCATCTCTCCAATCTCTGAAACAATAAAGGCTATAGTAACAGACCCAGTTCTTCAACTCCACTTTAGCCATGTTCTGGGATTTTCTCCAACACCAACCAGAAAGCAAAACCAAACATTTTGCCACCCACCTGTGGCCAAAAAAGTGCTGATGGGAAATATGCCAG